TATATGTATGTCTGTGTGTGTATGTGTGTATATATGTATGTCTGTGTGTGTATATATGTATGTATATATGTATGTATATGTGTGTATATATGTATGTATATGTGTGTATATATGTATGTATATGTATATATATATGTATGTATATGTATATGTGTGTGTATATATGTATGTGTGTATATGTATATATGTACAGTGTGTATGTGTGTATGTATGTATGTGTGTGTGTGTGTGTGTGTGTGTGTGTGTGTGTGTATGTATATATGTGTGTGTATATATACATGTACATATGTACAGTATGTATGTGTGTATATATATATATATGTACAGTATGTGTATGTATGTATGTGTATATATATATATATATATATATATATATATATATATATATGTATGTATGTATAAATATACTTATATATGTGTATACAGTTGAATAAGAGTAGGAAAACAATACTGAGGTTGTGAGATTTTCCCTGACAGCGGTGTGACGCTGGTCCGCTGCAGGCCTCATTCTGCACACACACACACACACGTTCTCCCGTTCCTCTGTCCTTCTGTCAGATGAGTCCATATGGCAGCTGTCATGTCTCCCGCTCTCTCTTTTTATCAAAGTCAGATCCCGGCTGCTCCCATCTCTGTCAGCTGATGTATGTATGTATGTATGTATATGCATGTATGTATATGTATGTGTGTCTATCTATCTATCTATCTGTCCTTCAGCTAGAGCAGAGTTTTAGGTTTAATGAAGCATAAAAGAAGCTGTACTGAAAGCTGCTCAAGGCAAAAATATTATATAAATGTCCACCTCACAACATCAGACTTCCTGTACCAATTTCGTTAAATTCTAGTTGTGTGTGTGTGTGTGTGTGTGTGTGTACTTCTCGACACAGGAAGTGATCCAGCTAAATGTCTGAGAAACATAAAATCCACCCGTTTGGTTTTCTGTAGAGTAAAAGCGTCACCGAGCAGCTTGAGTTGTAAACAGGAACGAGCCGTGTGCAGGTTTAATAACATCGCATTGCAGGACTTCTGGGTAATGTAGTCAAACATTCCCAAGTTGTTGTCTCTTGCTGCCATTTTCAGGTAGAAAAAGTGTCTCGTTTCACAGTAAGGTTGTTGTTTTGTGTGTAAATGTTCCACCAAAGACTCACTTACAGATTGTACCTTTTTAAAAAATGCAGGTTTGATTCACGATTTCATTACAGATGAAAATGAAACATGAAAGTTTTCTTTCACGTACAAGGATGACGCTTTAAAAGTGAATGTTTGAAAATAAATGGGTCATAAAATTGGTTACCATTAATTGGAAATAAACATTGATATGATGCTGTAAACTAGAGTGACAGCATTTCATATGACAGTTTGAGTCTCTGGTGGTTCAGCTCAGGTAACTCAACAACAGAGATGCAGAAATACGGAGAAAATCTGTAAATTGAATGAAATGGCGTAAACAAAGCAAAGTTATTTCTACATCTGCTGGACTAAATCCTTAATGTTGTGTTCTTGTCTTTCAGTGTGTGAACCGGTGAGAGAGAAAGAAGTCCCTTTGGATCTCAACAGGACCGACCCTGAACCTCATGGAGGTCTTCTGGAGGCTTTCCTCGGCTGCGTTGAGAGCCGAGGCCCCTCACTAACTGCCCCTCACTAACTGCTCCACTGTTTCTACTTTCTCTGTTGTAGTCGTGGGCGCTCGAGGCCGCAGACCTCTTCCCTTCTCGTCCGCTGTTTTTGTTCTAAGCAAGTCCAAAAACCAGGTGCCAAACTGACTGTGTCAAGAGAAGAAGCAAAAAAGGTCTCACCAAATCATCAGAAATATTTAGTCATCTAGCTTTGAAAAACCCTGATTTAGTAGCTAGAGCACAGCTTTACTTTGTCTCCCCCTCACCTCACAAACACATTACACCATCCCATTAAAATCCCATTTTAATCTCCGCCCTATTGCAAAACCGAGAGACGACGATCAGTGCATTATTGGGTTAAAGTGCTTTAAAAAACGCAGCTTGTAGTTGTGCGTCGCAGGAGGAGCTACGCGGTGAGCGGCGATAACACGAGCCTGATAAATCCCGTCTCTGCTGCTGCTGCTATCATCTGAAAGGTTTGGAGGAACAGCGCTGACACTTTGTTTATCTCCTTCTTCCAGTCGCTTCTACGAGAGCGGCCTCTCGCTCTTTGACGTCGTCTGTTTCTTCCACGCTCGATTACGCTCCACGACCTGAAGAGGTCCTCCTTATTCCCCCCCAAAAATACATGCAATTCAAAACCTTTCACTGTACTAACATTTATCGTGGAAGTTCGTAAGAACACGACCTGAAGCCATACTGAACACCAGCCATACGAATACCTTTTCTCATTTACAAAAACACCTCGCGATGTTTTAGGATCTCTCCAACAAAGCAGATCTTCAGGGAGTCGATGAGGAACCCGCCGGTGAGGAGAACCCTAAGTTCCACACGTTTGGATGAGAGCGCGGCTCCGTGCGTCTCTTTTTTTTCTGCCCGTGTGTTAACTTGAGAGCTCGCCGCTGAGCGGACGCCCCCCCCCTCGCGTGGTGTTGAGCGCGGCAGCGATCGTGACCTTTGTCGAGTTCCTGCCGTCGTTGCCTCCGACCCACCCGCGCTCCCTCTTGTGTTTGACGGATGAATCCGGACATTTTCATGTCTGTTCTGTGGGCAGAACCTCGCTGCCCTGCTAGAACCGGGCCCAAGCCCTCCTTCGTTCTCTTCTGTTGGGCCAAGCTAAATTCAGAGCAGAGACACTCGCACAAGGGTATTGAGCGCACATAGATACATCTTCTGTTTCTGTCTGTCGTTTTTGTCACCAGTTTCCTCGCTTTTGATCACTCTTTGGTGAATGCCTTGACATTATTGAACTTTACTTTTTCTTTTTTCTTCGTCACCATTTAACGCTGCTCAACGTGCATTTAGCAGCTGTGCTAGTCAAACTTCTAAATTCACTGTTTTTAAAAACCAAAATTTCAAGCATATTGACCTTTACTGATTCTCTTCCGCTAAATCTTTTGAGAGGAAGAGTTTGTTTCACAGCAAATTCTGAGCATGATGTAAAAAACAAAATACACATTTAAGTCACAGCTTGTGCCAAATTCAGACCGGCTTCCTCTGAGATCTCTGAAGCTGTCAGCACTGTTGTTTACAGACTCCACACACACACACACACAGCTCCAATATTACATTTACAAGTCGTCCACGCAGGACGACAGAAGTGCCAAACTCACACAAGAATACGTCCAACGTCTGTTAAAGCTCCATCAAACGTGAAAAAAAAATCAAGTTTACATACAACGCTAAATGTTTACAGATCACACTTTCATCCATCGCAGTTTCTTACGTAACATTCGTGCCATAAACGTCTCCTAGAAAACGCTTGGGTAGGAGATATACGACTGTCTAAGGAGCTAACAGTTTCCTCATCTTGTTTACAGAAAATGTAAAAAAACAAAACATTACTGCCTGGTTTTGAAGATTTTGGCCTACAGACTGTAAAAACTGTCAACCGACCAAAACTAAGTATCCGACACCTGCTGCCATAAAACAAAACCACATTATTCTATATTTATAATCAGAAGGTTTCATTTATACTGATAAGTTCAGAACTACAGCCATTTCACAGGCAGTTCCTATAGGACCTAAAAAACCTCTGAAAGACCTCAATGTTTACAAAAGCTGCATAAAGTGAAGGATTTGTACACGGAGAGAATTGTTTACATTAAGCTGAACGAGAGAAACGCGTTCATGAGACATCGCTGAACTACAAGAGACCCGTTGCTCCTGTGCATCGTGAGAGAGAGAGAGAGGACTTTTCATACCAACACTTTTTATAAGTCAGAAGGCCGCCATCTTGGATTAGGAGCTGTTCATGTGAAATTCTTTTTCTTTTTTCTTTTCTTTTTTTTTTTACAAAGGCTCAAAAAAACTTGGAAGAAAAACAATGAAATCTTTCACTTCAAGAGGGATGTTTTGCTTGTCCCTCGTTCTCCTGCTTTTCTCCTGCCTCGCCGCCGTTGACGGCGACGCCAGGACTGACGATGCTGCTGCTGCTGCCGGCGGCAGCAAAAGGAGCAACGCCTTGTTCCTCCTGACCGGCTACAAGCCGCCGCCCGCCGGGCCCAAAGTGGCGCCAAAAGCGGCCGAGGTCGTGGAGGATGGCGACGACCCGCCGGCGGTGGCCGAGCTCCCTCCGAAGCCCCTCCCTCAGACCATGTTGCCGAGGAACATGACGGCCGACGCCCTGAAGCCTCCGCTCGGCGCCGCCCAGGTGGCTCCGCCTCCCAGACAGCTGGTGGACGTGGATGTGTGCAGGTACGACTAAGCGGCCACTTCCTGTTCTGTGCTGTGTGGTGCGAATCTCTGTCTGCTTTTGAGTATATAAAAGGCCAATTTACACCTCGTCTCTTAAGAGGGACTCGAGCATTAACTCGGCAGAAATGGCAACAACTTTCCAATCTGCTCCCTGAAGAAAACCGGCAGTGAGCGCCGGAGGTGAGCTGTGTGATATAAGCCGAGGCTCCCGGCGTCTCCTTTGCAGCCCGAATGCATCTCCATGTGTTGATCACACTGGATGCCATAAAACAACGAGGCGCATCATGATTCTCTCTTATTTCTTTTATTTATTTATCTCCTCCCGCAGCAGCTCTGATCTCACCGGAGCTTATATCTCTGCACTGAGAGGCGTCTGGCTGTTGCTAGGCAACATGTAATCAGCTCTAAATCCTGTGTGCTGGCGAACACACACACACACACACACACACACACACACACACACGTTCAGGAGAAGCAGCACCAACAGTAATAACAGACCCAGATTTGAGCTCGTCTCTGGCGTTTCGTTTGAATCTTGATGTTTTTATTTTAACGTCGTCGCTCAGATGACATCACAGCTCTGGCTGCTCAGTAACGACTATTAGCATTTTCCTTCGTATTTTGACCTTTCACCCCGCACTCCTCCAGTTGGAAAGAAACTGTGAGATGTAGAAGAAATGCTCTGAGCTTGTTCACTGAACAAAGATGAGATCTCTGAAGCTGTCGGCACCAGAACACACACACACACACACACACACACACACACACACACACACACAGCTCCGATATCTGATTTGATTTAAAGAAAAACAAGAACACAACATCTGTTGAAGCCCTTTTAAAATGTGAAAGATATAGTTTACATACAGCGCTGAGTCACTACATTTTCCATCGCAGTTACATGAATCGTAACTTTAACATTATAATGAGGAGAAAGAAGGCTCGTTATAATAACAGAGTTTTCTCATTTAGAGTTGATGACGGGGATGTTCACACAAAAGTAACTAGAGCGCAAAAGCAAGAAGTTTCATCGGACTCTAATACAAAATGTTGGGCTAACGTCTGGCAGCTTTATGTATATATTATCTGTCATGGAGTCCTCTCCCAGTTAGAAGGAATCCTCACATGCTGCTTTAAGGTCCGCTTGTAATGGGCAACATGTCCATGAAAGAAAACGTGCCTTAGCTCACTGGAAAACTGCCTCCAAACAGAATTAACCAATGAGGCTTAAATGTCATGTTTTGCCATGTGAGTCATGATTGGAGATGTCCAGTAACCCAGAAGAGACTTTCCTTGTTAAACCCTCCCCGTCTGCTCCCCCACAGGGGTTACTACGACGTGATGGGGCAGTTCGACACCACGTTCAACTGCTCCAAGGGCAGCTACATCTACTGCTGCGGCACCTGCCACTACCGGTTCTGCTGCGAGCACCAGAGGAGCCGGCTGGACCAGGAGTCCTGCAACAACTACATCTCCCCCGTGTGGGCCGAGACGCAGGGGCCCGTCACCGTCAGCGCCGGAAACAAGCGCGACCCGGACTTCGAGACGCTGCAGCAGCAGAACAGCAGGTCAGCGTGATTCAGGAAAAGTGCGGAGATGGAGGGATGAGAAACGTTACAGCAGCCAAGTGACACGTTAATCAAACGGAAACAGAAATCAAAGAAGTACTCTAGAAAACATGATAAGAAGCATCAATAACAGGTTTTGTCTGCACTGTTGCGCTCAGTCAGCTGATGTTGTTTGTCTTTATTTACAGCACGGCCTACGTGATCGGAGGCGTGATCTCCTTCACGCTGGTGGTGGCTGTGGGCGTCCGGATCGCCTTCAGCAAGGTGGCGCGTCGACCCCGCAACAGAGATATCAACATGCCCAGGTGAGACCACGGGACAGCTGTGATGTGTTCACTGACTGTTAGTAACGATGTAGACCCAAGTACAGGTGTTTTAAATGGTGCTAGAGCTTTAAATAGAGCTGTAACACTGTTATACTTCCAACACCACACGATTCATACTTTCATTATACTATATACCACTCAGAGGATAATTGTAACTGTGTTCAAAGTCTACAGAAGCCCAGAACGGGCAAAACCCAAACACTGGCTCTAGAGAGGCCCTTTCGTAGTTCTCCTACACACTGGGCACATGGATGGAAGTTTCCAGCGTTTGTAACCTCACAACTAGAAGCCGTCAAATCCTGCACACTGCACCTTAAAGAAGCAGCTACACCGACAGTCCGTCTTACTTTGTCTGAACTTTAGTTGGGAAGTTTATTTGGATACATTTTTGTAGAGCAGGCAAACTAAAAGTCCCTCACAATACATGCATAAGTCGTCAAATACATCTAATTTAAGTCTTTCACACGTCTGTTGAGCACGATGAGGGAATGTTTTGTACATAAAGAATATAAGCTTCAGCTCAGACTGTGTTAAACCCTCAGTTTGTTTGATTAAACTCTGCAGAGTCTCAAATATGCAGACGAAAGGCGACTCTTACTGAGAATAAAGGATGTGGTACTATACAAGTCTTTGCATGTTTATGTGCTGATTACATTTGTCTTTGTCTTCGTCCTCTCTGTCCTATTCCGTCCATCAGATCGCTAGTGGACATCTTGCGTCACCAGTCGAGCCCGGTGCAGCAGGGAGAGAGGAACAACTCGGCGCTGTTGACCGCCATCACCGCGGACGGACGGCCGTCCAAAAACCACTACACCCCCATCCTGCAGAGCAAAGACAACCGCAGTAAGTCGCACGAGCTCCCGTGTCACAACAGCAGAGTTTAGGGGGGAAAATGGATCATATTAATTATGCAAATGAATGGTGTCACGTCCCCACTGAGGTGGAGGGTAACTGTGTAATTAAGATCTCAGTTTCAGCTTCAGTTTGGTGTGACTGAGGAGTTATCAGACGCTGCTGTTTAGAGAAGTAAACGAGTCCTTTTGTTTTACGATGAAGCCAAGTTAGTTCATCCGTTCAAGGAAATGATGCGCGATGATACTTTGAGTTGTTCATCATGTGGATTCACCTTCACTTGTTCTGTTTCTAGACGAGATCACCACCACATGTTGTGGTAAATAATCTGGTCAGTATTTATTTGCATGAATAATGAAACGGATCAGTTCTTTCACTTATGGAATATTTGTCGTAACATTTAAAAAATGTAGTAAAATTGATATTAATTCTGTCCCAGAAAACGCTTCCGATGACTTTAATAATGAACTGTTTCTTATTTAAAGTATTACTTTACCCACAAAATGTACCTTTTCTACATCGATTACTCACCTCGGGTTTCCTGTAACTCCTGCAGAATACTTTGTTTTTCTCTCGTGCCTCTACGGCGAACGGAGAATCAAACAACGGAGAAAATACTTGACGAATTTACTTCAATTCATCATAGAATTTGTTCGCTGTAGAGGCATGAGAGAATTCAAGATGACTCGGGGTGAATAGTGGTGATGTTCTCCGCTAAACTCAAATGATGTGTGCGTTGAAGTTTTCAAGTCTTTGTTTAATTTGACTCGTCCTTATGCACCTCAGGCTGCCCGTCAGCTTTGTGTTGTTTCTGATGAGACTAATATAAGCGGTGGGTAATCGGTGTTTGTTTGTTTTCTTGTATTGTTACACACACACACACACACACACTTCTCTCTCTGCTGCTCTGTCTCTCTCTCTGCTGCCACCGTCTCTCACTGAACAAGCTCTCTCCTTTCAGTCTCTCCAGGATTTGTTTCAACAATAACAAAATCAACCTCAAGGAAAATGTTTAGTGCAAACAAAGATGTCCCAGAGACGGGACAGCTTTTTGTCGCCGAAACTGAAAATGCGGTTGCCGTTTTTACTCGTCTTATATCTTGAGTAATTTGGATCCTACGCAGTTATTGTCCGCTTAATAATGACAATGTGACATAAATGAATGAAAGCTTTTGTTACAGTAACCAAAGTAATTATTAACTGTAACATCAACATTTGATTTAACACTGAAGCAACACATATTTAAGAAATATTCATTTCTGGATGCACGTTTTGCTGTTTGCTTTCCCTTTTTTAAATATGTTAAAAAAAAGGCCAAGAATTGGCAACTGTTACTGTCCAGCCCTGCAGAAAGTTAGATGTTTTGTTTGTGTGTAACTACTCTTATCACGTAGACGCATAGTTACAAACATAAACTACATTCTATCACTATATATTCTATGGATTGACTTCAACATTAAAAACACATGAAAACGGACTTTTTGCACTTGAATCTTGATCGTAAAACTGGATTTTAGGTTGTTTAACATATTCTGTTTTTTATATTATGCAAACAACAAACCGATTAGATGAGTATTTCAAAACTTCTAATGGAGAATAAAACGTCTTTTAATCTCCTCCCTCTCTGTAGTTGCTGAAGACATTAAGCTGCTTTTATGTCAATCAGCAGCTCGATTGAGCTCATCGTGGAAACGTGCGTCAGTAAAAGCAAAGACAAAGAAAGTAAAAGCCAATTCCTGGAGGGACCGTCTGTCTCTCTCCCGCCTCTGTCTTTCTGTCCCTGTCTGTCCTCTCTGTTGACACATATGCTGACTCGAGACACACACACACACACACACACACACACACACACGGCTCTGTGCCTCTGTGCCTCTGGAGTGGTTGTCCATCAGTTTGTCGGCTCTCTCTCTTCGCAGCGGGGAACTTGCACCACCACTTGCAGGGGTCTGCCTCCAGCCCCAAACACTCTGCTACCATCGGTAAGCCTCGTGGTCAGCAGCACGAGGAAACCCACGGCCTCGCTGTCTACCACGCTGTCTGTCTGTCTTGTTGTCCGTATGACGGCCTGCTGTCCTGCACTCTTGGAACAGCTGTGCCATCGTCAACGCGCCTGCTGTTTGACGCTTAAGAAACACGGCTGTGTTGAACGTGGCACATCTTTCATAAGAGTGCGAGCTGAAAGTTGTCTGGCCTGCCCCTCTGCTTAATGCACCACCCTTCTTACCACCACCAGCCTGCTTCCTCTTCCTCTTCTTCTTTCTGTGGAGCAGTGATGTGCAACTGTGCGCCTTACAGCTGACACTACACATTACCGGAGCTCTTGGCTTCAGTGAGGTCACTGCACCTTATCTAAGTCTGTTTTCCCAGGCTTTGCCCCAAGAAAACAAGAAAGCAATGCTAGCACGAGTGTTTTGTTTTTTTGTTGTACTCGGGGAGGAATAAAGTAGAAATCATCAATTCTGGTGCGTCCAACACGGCTGCCACAGAGAACTGGATAGAGCTGTGTGGAAATATCACGAGTGTGAAGGGAAGTACGTTTTTAAGTAGTTTCAGTGCCAATTATTCCGAACCATTACACCTACATGTGTCCCTCAGGGGATGGATTACACAAGAAGGCAACGGTTTAGAATAAAAACCAAGTCAGAGTACAGATTTAAAGTAAAAGAAGTTCAGTTTATATCAGGCTTTTCATGTGCTGTAAGCAAAGATTGTCCATTGTTCAGTCAAAATCCTCATATCCTCCCTCTTATTTAATGACATCATCTCATAAAGCCTACACAAACAAATGATTAAGTCTTTCTCAAGTACGGTATTGCTGGAAATTAGATTTGTCAGACTGTTAAATATTTTAGAGGCATTGCTTCTGTGTTAACTAAAAGTACTAAAATAAACCTATTTTGTAGTTATGTTTACACCAAAGGGTTTTTTTTTGTTTTTTTTATGAAGCAAAAATGAAAAACAAATAGCAATGATGTTGTTCTCTGAGGTTTATATGTCGGTTCGTCAGTGCTGTTCTCGTTCACTCGTTCTCCGATTCATTCTGAAAAGCTCCAGCGAGGTTTGACGACTTTAACGTGCTCCTCGTCCTCGGCTATCTTTAGCGTTGTCCTCTCTTTCCTGTGTTAGATAATGTTGATGGAGGATACAAGAGCAGAACACTTCAGCCCTCTGAGTCAGATACTGTGCAACACTCTGGAACAGAGTTCACCGTTTTTCATGACACCCTTAACAAACCTTTCTGTCAGCTGTCGTAGGTGTTCCATTTAAAAAAAAAATAAAAATAAAAATAAATCTATTACTGTGCACTCTTGGAAATGACCGGGCTAATTCTGTATCATGACACTGGAAAAAAAACAAGCTCAATATTTGATGCTTTTATTTTCTCCCTCGTGCTTTATAAACCGTCATCTCACAGCTAGCATTGCTTTTACTCCCCCCCACTGTGTGTGCGTGTGTGTGTGCGTGTGTGTGTGTTCCCTGGGTGACGCTTAACAGAGACATTATTGGCTGTTATTGCCCATTACTGTCAATGGTGAATGACCAGTATATGTCCAGCAGTAATCTTAACAAGATCGCAGCTCATAACCATTCCCGCCCTGAAAGGACTCGTCGATTGTGTCTCAAAGACGGGAAACAGTAAATGCCCAATTTGTTTTTCCAGAGTTGCGTAATCTTTAATCGCTGCTTTTATATTCTCACTTTTTTTTCAGTTTTATGGCAGCATGTCGATCTCAGATGAACCTTTTTTTTTTTTTTTTTTTTTTTTTGCTTGTCCCGAGTTTTTAAATGTGCAGAACCGTCACACATCGGCTCGTTCAAAGTGCCGTCTGTTTGTAAACCTATGAGTGTACTCGTACAGTGTGTGATGTAACTGATATACATGTTGCAGAACAGGACCGTCCTGCCCCTCCCCCACACTGCTAATCTTACATAAGACAAATCATTTTTTATGTGTATCGATCGATGTGCTGCTTTTGCACTTTGCATAAATGTGAATGTGTGTTTGTGGACCCTCCGCCCCACACCTCCACTCTCCTCGACGCTATCAGTGTATTTCTATGTATTTACATGTGGCTGATATGTTTGTGTTGGAGCCTCAGATGAACAGTACAGAGTTGTATTTATAGATGGTCGCCATGGAGCTCAGAGACACTTCCTGTGTTTACTGATCATTAACCAGCTTGTTTCTTCTTCTCTTGTTCCGTCGTCCCCCTTTCTTCTTTTTACTTCCTTTTTATTTCTCTTTATTTTCTCCCCTCCCTTCCTCATCTCTTCTCTCCCTTTGTCATGCTCCATCTCTCTTTTTTTTTCTTTCCTTTCTCTTTTCCCTTTTGTTTATTTGTGTTCCTGTTTTGATTTTTTTTCCTCCTCCTCCTTCCTCACTTGCTTATCTTCTACTCAATCTCCTTTTCTCTTCTCCCTCCCTCCAGAGCGAGGCGCCCGTATGAACAACACCTCCCAGCTCTCCTCTGGACCCGCCCTACTTTCGGGTAGCGGTAAAGGTGGCGGCAGCATGATCGGCGGGGGCATGAGACACAACAGCAGCCACCCGTCCTTCTCCCACTCCTTCCACAACCTCGCCCAGCTGCCGCCGTCCTACGAGACGGTCATGAAACCGGAGATCAACCGCTACAGCTCGCTGAAGAGGCTGGGTGAGCCGGGGAGGGATGTAGGGGAGGGTTGAAAGATGGAGGGATAATCTTTAGCGAGAGAGACGGAGGGGGACTTATTGATTGTTCAGGACCACAGGAAGTCTTTCAGGTGATGCAACACACCAGGTGGCGGCCATATTGGAAGTGTTCTTGTGCTTCAGTGGCTGAACTCAGTCGCTGATTTATTCTCACAAGGTGTGAATTACACTCACGGTTCATTTAGATCATTTTTACCTCCAACACTTCACATCATCACTTTGAAATGTGGCTCTTAAAATCCCAGTGGAACAGATTTAAATCAAATATTTTGGTGGTTAAAAATGCTTTTTTTCATTTCATCTCGACTTTAAGAAATTTGTGCTTGGATGACGGTAGCTGTAGTCGCCTTGGAATCACAATGGCTACAATGGTCTCCAATGGAGACCCCAGAGTCCATCCATCCATGTATCTTTTACCGCTCATCCTGTTCAGGGGTCGGGGTCCCAGCTGACGTTGGACGTCGGGCACGTAGACACAGATAACCATCCACGCTCACATTCACCGTTTAGATCAATCAGCCTGAAGCTGCATGTCTTTGGAACGTGGGAGGAAGCCGGAGAACCCGTAGAGAACCACCGCTGACATGGGGAGAACATGCAAACGCCACACAGGATCCAGCTTCTTGCTATGAGGGGACCGTGCTAGTTACTACTACCATATTATATAGTCTTATTATAAAACTATATATATGTATTGCAAAACTTAATGCCAAAAACAAAAGTTCTGTTCTGGTGGAGCTTTGGAGCAATGAGCAGGTGATGCAAGTCGTGTATTCAAAACTCAACTTAGTTTTTGGAAAATACTAAACATATGACTGTGTGACTGTGAGGATTTGATAATTAAGTGTTTTCATTTGAAAGTAGACTACAGGGATTTTGGTGTTGCACCTCCATGAGACAGATTTCAAGCCCTCAAAAACACTGGATCCTACACTTCCCATAATGCAACTGCCCTAGCTGCCTGGAAGCCAGCTAAACTAAGAGCCAGTTATTCTCTACAAGCCAACTAGCTTTGTTTCCAGGTATCTCTCTCTTATTTTGTGGCCGGGTTATTTTAACTCAAACATCCATTACGGCAGCAGGCAGGCATGGCCGCCAGGAGATTTGTGACTCAGCTGCCACCGAAAAACCAAATAATCATCTGAATGTGTAAACTGTTCAGCAGGAACAGTTTACACATTCAGTCATAACAGGACGCTAGACAAACTGAAACATAAAAATGGGGGGAATTAATGGAGGGATTGGAGCAGACTGAGAGAATTAAGAGAGTGAAAAGGATGGAGGAAAGATGAAGAAATGAAGGGGAAGGTTGTGAAAGACCAGGAGGAACAGAGAGATGGAGTTGGGGAGGAAGAAGGGAGGGGAAGAGGAGGAACATGAATACAAATTTGGAGAAAGAGTTGACCAGAAGAAAAGGATCAGGGAGGCAGCGGAAGAGCCGACTGGCCAAATAAGGATACAGCAGGAAGAGAGAGAAAGGGGGGGGGGAAAAGATACCAATGAAGATAAGGAGGAGAAATGAAGGGAGAGGCAGTGGAAGGAAGGGAGGGAGATGTGGAGATAGGGGGAGGGGCGTTGCTGGTCTGCAGGGGCCCGGCTGCCTTCGACGGGGAAGAAAAGACGTTTGAGAGGCAGCGTCTGGCAACCTCTCCCTCTGTTTCTCTCTCTCTCTCTCTGTTTCTCTTTCTCTGTCTCTCTCTCTGTTTCTCTTTCTCTGTCTCTCTCTCTGTTTCTCTTTCTCTGTCTCTCCCTCTGTTTCTCTGTCTCTCTCTCTGTTTCTCTCTCTCTCTGTCGTTACCTCTCTCGCCCTGATATTGCTGAAGACTGCAGGGGGAGGGGAGTCGTCTCTGCAGGCTGAGTGATGGATGGTTACTACATGGGGATCGTGTGTGTGTGTGTGTGTGTGTGTGTGTGTGTGTGTGTGTGT